TTGATTCCCTCAACACTTGACAGTCAACCAAAGCACGTGTGCCTCAAGCAGAACCTGTAACGACGTCAAACCATCGTAATATTGTCCACAAGTTGGTCAACTGTTCTTGGTCCAGAGAGCGAAATGTTTCAATGCAGAGAAAATAAAAGCCTCACCCTTTCAATAATTGTGACGCATCGTGGTGAAATTAGGCGCTCGTCTAAATCATGTTTCTTAATCAGAGACACTTTGGTTATTGACATATTTGAACTTCCATGTACAGACCAACTCTCTCTCTCTCTCCCTGAAACCCTGCTCAGGGGGCTGTCAACTGTCATAACAATATTCCACTGTCATTGTGTTGACTGACAAGTGTTAACAGAACTATGTCTTACAAGACGTCATTCATACAAAAAAGCACCACCCCGTTTAATGACTTCAGATGTACACTACTAGTTGCATATATGACAAATTGGTGTTTCGAAATTAAACATGATTAAAACATCACAGCATTGAAATATAGTGTAATTTTTGTACATGCAGACACATTAAAGACAAATATTCTCACAATGATATAAGATTTCTTTATAAAAAACATCACGACTCAGGAAAAAAAACCCCAAAAACATTGAACCCTTTTAACTAAAAAAGTTAACCCAACTCCTACCCTAAAATCAAGTACCCAAATCCATCACAAGTTCCAAACCCCATGACCCAAATCCTGAACTTATGACAAAAAGACCACTTTACTTACTTTACTTTTCAAACCCAGCGGCCATTTGAGTTCTAGCCCTTCGGCCTACAAAAGGACCACAAAAAATTCATAATAATAGTGACTGAGAAAAAGAAATCAGTGTTTCCAAACCTGAGATCTGCGATGAGCATACATCAGGACTGACGTTGCTTGAACAGCCCCACCCAGCACACAGTCATGGTAAACCCACAACAAACATGGGGCTATATTATGCACTTCATTAACACTCAGCTTATAACAGCTACTTTCTAACGATGCTCCAAGGGAATCTTTTTAACGCAGGTGTTCCTACATTCCCATAGGCACAATTTAAGATCATTAAGGCAGCAGTTCCGCGCCAGACCCGAGAAGTCCGTTGCAGTCACTCTCCTGGCTGGGTGACCAGATGAGGTATTTTGTACTGCTGGCTGTGACTACAAAGTGTTAAAAACGCCAGAAGACAAAGACCAAAAAAATACTACATAAAATATGTGGTTGCAATTGATGAGGGGGAAAACGGGACAAAACGACGGGGAGTTTCAAGAGCGAGTTGAATTCAATCTCGTCAAGTCTCGACCCCATTAAAAATAATGAGGGATTTCTACTCTGGCATCAGCAAAATGTGGAGTGGAGCATTCTCAGAATGTTCTACGCCCTGATCCCTTCTATGCTGCCTTCGAAGCAGGAATGTCAGCTCCAATAAACACAAACAAGGACTTAACACAAGCGTAACATAACCCAATTCTTAACGGGAAGGAGTAGGAAAAAAACTGCACAAAAATTACTTTTTGCGAAAACCGACAATAATTGTGAAAATTCACTATATTAATCCATCCTCATGTTTTTAAAGGCAATTTACCTGGAGAATAAAGTCTTTCTCAATTGTATCCATACTATTTTTAGACCAAAAACTGGTTTATCTTGAAAAATCAGCCAACATAAAATGTGCATAGCCTGACCCCAAATCTGCAAAATCAAGGGTCGCTCCCCTTCCCTTAAACAGCTTGAGCCATATTTCAAAATTCCACGTACATGAATTATAAACCACTTTTGCTTTCACTGCTCCCTATCGTAAAAGTTAAATATGTCCATTCATTTATAATACACTAGAAAATGCACTACAAAGAAAAAGAAAATTCATTGGTATGGATTGGGGCATTTTCAGAAACTATCCCCACCTTACTCACAATTCATATCAGCCCAAATCGAAGTCGACATGAACTCTGAGCAAGTAGTCACATCCACCCATCCCTGACTACTCCAAATCACACACTCATTGGACCTACATTTACAATAACACTATTCAGAAATGTCAGGGGAAAAAAAATACAAATATATACTCAAACGTAATGTCTACATTACAAACGGGAGACATCTGCCGAGCAAATCTTCCCCCAAGAGGAAGCAGTATAATGTATTAATAAACTTGACTTAAAGAAATAATAATACAATATTTTTATACATCTCGTTTCGATATTAATTTTTTTAAAATGAGCACAACACCTCTCTTTCAAACAAAACAAAAATTATTATTTTTGGTACTAGAATGAATAAAAGATAACAGAAGAAGTGAATCACCACCTTACCGGAATGTCAAAATGAGCAAAAAACTTTGGCACAAGCAATCTCCCCCACGAGGGAGTCTGTACAGTCTGTGATGTGTCAAGATGCATATACAACAAAAGAACCAAGACAAAAGACCTCACGTAAAGCTCTGGTGCTAGAGCCCAGATAGCTCGTTACCCTAGAATTATAATAATAATAATAAATAGCATTTGTATAGCGCATATCCCCGCTCAACAGCAGGCTCTATGCGCTTTACACTATATTATTACCCCAGCAGACCATAGAACACTCCGAAACATTCTCAGTTTCCACGGAAGCATACAGAGCAAGCTGCAGATTTCACGCGCTCAAACACTATCAAACTGACAAGATCTTTTTCTGTCTATAGCTGGGTACCCATTTCCACCTGGGTGAAGTGAGGAAAATTTGTGCAAAGTGCCTTTCCCAAGGACACAACGTCGGGCCCCTGACGGGATTCGAACCCACGACCTTACGGTTGCGAGTCCGAGAGCCTAACCACCGAAATTACAGTTCTATCTGCTTATTAGTACCTAGTTATGAGAAATTTGACGTTATAAAATTTTTAGTTTCACGACACGTCAAACTTTATGCTTCCTCGGAAGCTAAGAATGTTTCTGAATGTTCTCAGAGGGTCTGCTGGGGTAATAATAGTTGTACAGCGCATAGAGCAATTATTATTATTATTAACTTTTCCGAATGCAACTCTTCGAATATCTTGATAACAACTTTGCATAATCACATAATTTTGATAGAGCAGACAGAACATTTGGTTTCTGACCCCCCTGGTCTTAGTAACTCAAAACCGCAAAAAAATTCCGGACAGAACTTTGTAATTCTACGGTAGCAATCCAATATTGCAGAGTGGGGTTTCTACAGCACATCCATAATTCACTCACGACCAAAAGGAATTTACTATAGGCAAGAAATAAAACACAGAGCCGAACGGACAAAAACTTGACACTGCAGCTGAATGCGCTGCCAGTCAACAATGTTAAAAACAATACAAAAAAGCCCAAACAATCAGAGTGTGAAGAAGAAAAGTCGACCTCCACAACACACTGTCTGAAGTAAAAACCCTTAGAATAAGAGGAACAACATTGACTGGTTAAATAGATTCTTCCTGAGTTCAACACATGAGACTTGATATATCGATGAAATAACTTGGAAATAATTCATCATAGATCTAACTCAAAAAGTTGGATAAGAGAAACAAAAACATCAACCAAGAAGCTATAGTCCTACTCATCACAAAGTGAATTTCAAGAACACAACTCTTTAAAATCGAAAGAAAGGAATTCTTAGTAATGCCCATAGGCAAGAATATCAATCAGAAATGTGCACCCCACTGTACTCAGTTAAGTACATTGAGATTTATACCATGGAAAGATGTCCAACATTTAAAAAATAAAGTTCACCTTCTAAGAAACCGTTACAAGCTCACTTGGTTAGACACAGTTTAATGACATGCTCCCATCAATCCTGGGTGTAATTTTTATTTAAGAAGAGGAACCCACGATGTAATCTGTCTCCAAACTCAACCCAGCTACAAAAACTCCTAAAAAAATACTTTAGTTTTAAGCGGACTCCATTGCGAACTCGAAGTAAGACCCTCTGAACAGTAGCACAGCAAGACACCAACTATGCTAACGCCCCCCTCTCTACTGTTTTGCTAAATATAGAAAACAAATGAACCGTATTCACGTACACAAAATAGTCATTAGTAGTTCACGTCTTTTACCAATAGGAATACAAAACACACAATTTGATATAAGATATATTTTCATTTCTCATCCATGCCTCTCTCTCTCTCTCACTCCCTCCCTCCACAGCCAAACATTATCATCGCTATCACAAGACAGTTGCTCGCCTCCATTAGACCCTCTTTTACAAGGAAGTCTTAAAAATCAGGGGCTTCTCATACATCTTGGGACTGCGATGAAATGCTCCAACATAAAATCATAGAAATGAAAGGAATAACAGCTACTACAGCTTGTTCACTTTCATCTGACCGTGGTTAAAACATGGCAAAATGAAATCGCTCCGTTTAATCATCTCCAATCTTCTGTATACCGGTCTAAAAATTGGATGACCAACAGAATCTAAAAGCCCATTCATAAAGGTCACTGCAAACTAACATTCCGACACGTTTTCTTTGGTATCACCCTGAAGGGGGCAAAAAAAATAATAGGAGATTTACAGCATACACCTAAAACATTAAAAGTTGACATATTCTCAACACAACACTTTTTAATGTGTGCCCAACACACAGATTCAAAGGACGGGGTAAGTACTTTTGAGACTCATGTGGAGACTTCTTGACAGCTGGGGTGGGTGGTTGGCTGGTGCTCTGGTGTGGTTTGCTTCTTCTTTCCTATCAAACATCTATCGTCCTTCTCTCCCCTCCTTTTTTATGTTTGTTACTCTCTTGTAACACCTCTGATCTTCTGGCGCTCATATGACCTTATGCAGTGGCGAGCGCCGTAAAACCTCTACTAAAACAAAAGACAGCTGGGGGGGATGTAATCTTCAAGCTCACACTGAGATGTAGGGGCAAGGTGGTGTCAAAATGAGCAATTTGTAGGCAAAGTTACTGTAAGTCCTTTATTTTAGTGATCCTGTGTATGCATCCAAAGAGCGGTTTTTAATATAAGGCCCAAAGAGAAAAGAATTTTTATTACTAGATCAAGAATTTTTTGAAAAATTTTGTTTTAGGTCACTGGCCTGCAGAAGTGGCATGCAAAGTTTCGTGGGCATAGGTAAATTAATAAATTAGCTAGATTTTTTTTAACGCAGGCAAATGAAAGTGAACAACCTATAATTATTCATCAAAACTTTCTACTAAATATGCATTCTCAATAGTCAATATTTTAAAAAATCAAGAAAAACAGCCCCAAAAAAATAAGGCATTACCATTTCTAGTACGTAAAAGAAAGAAAAAAGAAGAAGAAGAAAAAGAAAAAGATCTACAACAAAAAATGATGTAAAAACTAAAGAAACATTTTAGTAAATTTAATGTTTTCACAGACTGTAAAACTGCACTGGTAGGATTTAGCGTGTAGATGCAGGTCGACCACGATGATGTCACAGCAGGCTCTGGCGGCGAAAGATGACGGAGAGCCCAATCAGCTGATGGCCGACTTGCTGGTGCGCTCTAACACGGCGGCGTTGTTCCGATAGATGAATACCTGAAACAGGAATCAAGCGCCGTGAGTTTTGTCTGTCAGCCATATATACTAACTAGGTAGGAGGAAATATGTGAGGCAGCGTGGTGGAATCAGGCTCTCGTCAGTTTTTGGGCATGTAGAGTTATTGGTATCATCTTAAAGCTTGTTCACGTGTCTTTATTTGGATGAAAATAATATTCCTTTATCTTAAATACAAGTCGAGATATTTGCGAAAGAAGGAGGTTTTGTGCCTTTAATCAATGCTTTTCAGAAAAATCCACACAGAAATGAGTTCCTTAATGGGCATGAAAGGTGCTGAGTCAAAAAACAAAAATTTGATAAAAATTCACAAACCTGCGGAAAATTGCAAGTTTCTTCACTTTGATTATTTTGACGAGAGCCTGATTCCACCACGCTGCCCCACATATGGTCGCTTTTAAGGACAAGCGGGCTAAGCCAGATTTCGGAGGTTTCCAGAAATCTTGACCTACACCAAAAGTGGGCATTACCCTACCTATGGGAGAAGTTTGGTTTCATTGGTGTGGATATTTGTTTAGTTATAGAGAAAACTCTCCTTGTCTTCTAAAGAAACTGAACAAGGGGCAAAACAGCATATTTCGGGATAGTTTGCCCCTTGTTCTTAAAAGCGACCATATATAGGTGGAATCAGGCGCTCATCAATTTTTGGGAAAGTGGAGTCATCGGTATCATCTTAAAGCTTATTCTATTCTCTCGATCTACATGAAAAATGTACCTGTCTACCTTTAATAGGAATCGTGATATTTTCAAACTGAAGAAGGTGGGGTTCGCCTGGTTTCAAAGGTAAATTTGTGAGAAAATGGCTGCCAAAGTTTGGTAACTTCCATAGTTTTAGTCCTTTGAAACTAAAAATGTACAGTTTATGTGCCTTTAATCAAAGTGTTTCCGTGAAATTCACACAAAAGTTTGTTTTTAAATGGACATAAAAGAAGTTGAGCCAAATTACAAAAATTTGATAAAAATTGCCAAACCAGCAGAAAAATGCTGTTTTCTTCTATTTCATTATTTTGACGAGCGCTTGATTTCACCACGATGCCTCACATTTGATAATTTGAATGTGCAGTAGGGGGGGGGATCACCCAAGTGGTGACAGTGTTATGTAATGCCCTGCTTGAAAATACATTTAGGAGAGTGATACAAAAATTTAAATCACAATAATAAAAAAAAATTGCATTTGCACTGCACATTTCCATTTTCTAAAAAATGTTCAATGCGCATTAAATTCTGAGAGATGTCACGTTAAAAAATTACTTGACAGGCGTATGTATAGAGCATAATATTATGTAAATATATGTGTATGTATAAAAAGATTTCTATGAAAAATAGATTGTCATGCGGAGTCTGGCTGTGACAATGCTATATTTTTTTAAATGTAGAATACAAGAAAAACTCTCTCACACTCACAATAAAACTAGTGCTACGAACAAATCTCCCTCCCTCCCTCCCTCTCCCTCCCTCCA